GGGAGGGCAGCAGGGATGGACTTGAGCTTGCGGATCTCCTGTTAGAGCCGCCGCGCTTGGAGAGGGCGCCGCAGCAGCGACCAGGAGCCGCCGCCGCCGCCGCCGCCCGAGGCCCCGCTCGGCCCGCGCGCCCTGAGCCTCCCGGCACAGTCTCTTCGCGGCGGCAGATGTGTGTGGGGTCAGCCCACGGTGGGGACTATGGTGAAATTCCCGGCGCTCACGCACTACTGGCCCCTGATCCGGTTCCTGGTGCCCCTGGGCATCACCAACATAGCCATCGACTTCGGGGAGCAGGTAAGCCCCGCCGCGCCCCCCGCCCCGCACTGGCAGCGCCGCCCCGCGCCCCGCGCCCCGCTCCGGGATCGCTCTGCCTCGGCCTTGGGCGCCCTATGGCCGTGGGATGGGGGCAGATGGGAATCACCTGCTCCGAGTTGCTTTTTATCCCGGAACAGTTGGTTGGGTTTGCCGCCTGTCAAGGATGACTTTTCCAGCAGTCCATTCCCCCTCCCCCAGTTATTCAGCAGAGTTTTCCAGCTCCCTCTGGAAATTGTTAAAAGATAGGCGGGTTTGACGCTTCACCTATAGAAGGGTTTTTCCGTGCACAGTAGGGGTATTATGTAATTTGTGATTATGTAAACCGCAGGTCTGTAAGTAAAAGGTAGTTTCTAGTAGTTCAGGTGCTGGTTTGTTATTTATCCGGGGTCGGAGATGATGGTGATGCTGATGATGGGGAGATTTGTGTTTTCAGCCCAGCTATGGATTAGGGTGTCCCCAGTGTGTCCTGACAAGCGACCATTGATCATCTCTAGTTTAGGATTTGGGGGTGTGTGTTTTTTCTTGCACCGCTAAAGGGGGGGGTACATTTTTGATCGTTGCTTTCTTGCCCTTGTTTCTTTTCCATGTTTTTCACCATTTGTCTCCATGTGGCGTCATTGCAAAACTGGCGCTGCAGGCTCCCCCAGCAGCGAGGCATCGGTGCTCTGCACTTAGCCGGTGGGGACCGTTTTCTCGCAGGGCCCCAGCAGGGTGCAGTTGCATTTTAAGGCCAGAGAGAGGAGGGGGTGGGCAGGAACATGCCACCTTAATGTGCAGGAGTTGGAACTGGCCAGCGTGTGTAATGGGCAACACTCCGGGTGTTTCGTAGCACCTTATTTATGTTCCTTTTAAGTCAAGACATTTCAGAGGATGTTCTATTTTTAAAATGCACCTATTTTGATGAACTTTTAGTTGTTGTTTTTAAAAAAAAGGACCGGGTGTTTTTTGTTGTTTTCTTTTCAGAAATGCGTTGGTTTGGCACCTCCTTTTGGTGAATATCTGCTTGCATTTGCTTGTTTGCTGAGAACTTCTGATTGATTGCTACTCTATAAGCTCCCTGATACTTAGTGACATTGTAAGCTACTTTTACTTCGAATTTTATTGCAGATAAGTGTCCGCAGTGTAGCACAGTCTCTAGAGACCTTTGTCTGGAAGCCCAGTAATTTCCTTTGATTAGCTACGATATCTTTTCTGTTGCCTCTGTGCCCGGCGAGTACCACCTCAGTACTTCCCTGCTGCTCCACCTTCTTCCTGCCCACCTTACCCTCTTGAATAATTCACTGGTGACTCTGGGCATTTCCTATCATCTGTGGAAAGGCTTTTAGACCCACATTTACTACATGGTACATCTAAGGTGAGTCAAATGCTGTATGTTCACCTGAACCTTTTACTACATTAAGGCTTATTTTCTTGGAGCTGCTCCAAAGGTTGTCAGCACAAGGATGCTCACCTGATCGCTTCGCCCTGAACTGGAGTGTGTGTGTGTGTGTGTGTGTGTGTGAATTATATAGGGATAACTGGAGGAAACAAGAGTATTCTTTGTCATAATTAAATGGCCTGAAGCATGTCATAGTGTTGTCTCACATTTGCTTTGATTTTTTAAAAAATATTTTTATTTTTAAATATTTTTTATTGATTTCAGAGAGGAAGGGAGAGGGAGAGAGAGATAGGAACATTAATGACGGGATAAAATCATTGATTGGCTGCCTCCTGCATGCCCCGAAATGGGGATCGAGCCCACAACCTGGACATGTGCCCTGACCAGGAATCGAACCGTGACCTCCTGGTTCAAAGGTTGATGCACAATCACTGAGCCACGCTGGCCGGGCCATTTACTTTGATTTAATACAAGGCTAATATTTGATTTTAGGGTAAGGGGAAGGATCTCCTGAATTACAAAAGGGTGTGTAGACATAAGAGATGACTTTAGATGGTTTACCCTAGTGGGTCTACTAATTCAAACTCATCCTTACAACATTGCTAACCTCATCATCATGGCTGACATAAGCAACGTACTAGAACAGTTATCTTTTTGCACAGAAGCAAGTTTTATCAACAAACAAATGTTATTTGAGGTCCTTATCCCTTAAATGCCGGCATACTTAGGAGGGGAAAGGCTGCCTGGAAGTGGAGATATTTTATCAGAGTTCGGGGTGGAAAGATGCAGGGAAGAGAAGGCATAGCCTTGCTTTGCCTTCCAGTAGCAGATGATAATTGTTTTGCAAAATGTGCAGGGTGAGAAGAATGGAGCTTTTTTTTTTTTCTTAATTTTAAATGAGGGAAGAATTACAGTGTGAGCTAAAGCATGACCTGCTTATATGTGGGTAATGAATACAAGGGCATTTACCCCAACTGCTTCCAAGCACAATAAAGATGAAGAGAAATGCAGCTATTTGCAAAGTGGGTCCATGTTAAACTTTGAAAACATACAGTTCTTGACATGAATTTTTATTAAGTTCTAGACAGAGGGACACATGCAGATCTCTCCCATTCTTCTTTCAGAATGAGTGGGTGTATGGTGCCTCGGCCTGAGTGAACAGTGATTTCATATTTCAGTAATTGCCTAATTGTAAAGTATGGAGGTGACATGGGAGTGTAAAGATCCATAAACAACCCCTGGTTCTCATGCCTTGGAGATAATTAAGAAACCAAAATTAGAAAATAAAACATCTCATCAGCTTTTAAGTCTCTGACTTGTCTAGGACAAAAGGATAGTAAAATCATTTTAACTGTTTCTTAGAGGAGGGTGTTTTTATGATTATAAACATCTCGGTTTGTGATTTCTGTAGAAAATGTGGGCAGAACTTTTTAAAAATTTTTTTAATTGATTTCAGAGAGGAAGAGAGATAGAAACATCAATGATGAGAGAGAATTAATAATCAGCTGCCTCCTGCCCCTGCTGGGGATCGAGCCTGCAACCCAGGCATGTGCCCTGACAAGGAATCAAACCGTGACCTCCAGATTCACAGGTCAATGCTCAACTGCTGAGCCACACCGGCTGGGCCAGAACTTTTAAAATGGAAATCCAGCTATATAAAAGATTCCACTGAAATTTGAATAATCGGCACATATGTGATTGTGTATAGGAATTGCACATTAATTATCTCAGCTATTAGTGTATCTCAGCTATCAGTGCCTGTGGGGTTAGGGGTCATGAGGAAGCCTGTAACGATCTATCCCGAGTGTCCTGATATTCTCCATGAACATTATCGGCAATGTATGTAGATTTCCCTGCAATTTCATAGCTCAATCAGGGAGGAACCCAAATATTATGGGCTATTTACTCTTAACAAGACTAGCAAAACCTATTACCATATTTTCAGTTTTGATGGTGGCAGTCATTTAAGGGAGGAGGGATGGTTGAATTCTACACTGAAAATAAAAACTATATGGAATAGAATGTCCTGCTTTATAATATTAAACATAGGGACCATAGAAAAGAATGTGAGTATATTCATTATTGAAAAATGTAAAATGACATTTGTAGAGCCCAGTAGCTGAGTAGATACTTTATGATACGTACAGTATATCTAGAATTATCATTTTGTGTTTATTTTTATAGATGGATAATCAAAAGTACTAATTACTTTCAGTTTTTTAGCACTTCATATGTGCTTACAACAGCTCAATACATGTTCTATGTGAGGAAAGAATGAGAGGCCTAAGCATATTACTTGTCCAAGATCACGCAGGCAGTGCAGGGCGGAGCCTGGATTCACGCCTATATCTGCCTCCTCTAGTTACACTCACACACTGAGATAGGCCTAGGAGTTTTTATTATTATTACTATTATTATTATTATTATTTTAATATATTTTTATTGATTTCAGAGAGGAAGGGAGGGAGAGAGATATAAACATCAATGAGAGAATCATTGATCAGCTGCCTCCTGCACGCCCCCTACAGGGGATCAAGCCTGAAACCAGGGCATGTGCCCTGACCAGGAATTGAACCGTGACCTCCTGGTTCATAGGTCGACACTCATGAGCCACACTAGCTGGCTAAAGCTAAGTTTTTAAGTAACTGTAAAGGGGAAACCTTTCCCCTTCCAATTTATTCTACACTAATGGAATAAATTTCAAAATAATGTTTATTTTTCTAATTATAAAAGGTATATATGCTGTTTGAAGTTTGGTTAAGTATAGAGGGAAAAATAACTATAATTATGCTCTAAAGAAAAAAAACCCTCCTTTAACATTTTGGATATCTCCTCCCAATCTTTTCTTTCTCCAACATAATTGAGGATCTTCCTCTGTTTCTCTCCCTTCCCCCATATCTTTTACATAGCTGGATTTCCATTTTAAATATTTATTTAATATATATATATATATATATTTAAATATATATATATATATACATATATATATATATATATACATTTCCCATATATTTAAAAAGTCTTTAAGTATGATTTTAAGTAGCATAATATTTGATTATATGCGCATACTATAATTTCCTTTGTGGTATATTCCCCTATTGTTTAAATGGTGAGTTTGGGGGGGGGGTTGTTATTGTTTGGTTGGTTGTATTTTTGTAATATAAAATTTCAGTGAGCCTCTTTTTTGTAATAAGGTGATAATGTTTTCTCTGACAACCTTGGGCTTTCTGCTTGGCATAACTTGCTGCCTATTTCAGCTTCTCATTCATACATAGAAAATGAGGTCACTCTCTTCTGGCAGTCCATATTTAGTCAAGGACACAGTGACCTCCTTAATCCAATTGATACAGACTTCTCTGCCATGTTTCCCAGTTCCCTGCAGGTGTACTTCTACATTTAAAGGATCTCTTTCGATGTACTTAGGAACACAGACTGTTCCTAGAGCCATGACGGTATAATCAATCCTATGGTTAGTTTGTTTGCACATTTATTATTATTTTTTAAAATATATTTTTATTGATCTCAGAGAGGAAGGGAGAGGGAAAGAGAGATAGAAGCATCAATGATGAGAGAGAATCATCAATTGGCTACCTCCTACATG